GCGGGAGTATCTGGGAGCGCAGAGGCATTTTAACTTTCGCAAGCATTGCTCCTTCCCTCTTGGAACTCCACCACATGAGAGCAACGCTTAACATTGCACGTGGCTGTGTCACATCACTGACGTTTTTTAGTGTCAGCATGCATCAGAATGTAAATTCTCACTTGATTATTCCCTTTTTTTTTTTTCTCCCTGTGTTACTAACACCTTGGTAGTAATAATTCCTGACTGTTAGTTCAGAGGCCTAGCAATGGGCTTGAATCTTGTTAGAATGGCCACTGCAGAAATACAGGTTGGAAATGACTCTCCTTGGTACAGAAGTTTTACCTTGCAAAAAGAGATACACACAAGCGTGATGAGTGCCATATACAGTGAGGCTGTGCTGGTCAGCATGCTTTTCCTACATGCTCAGCATTTTGGTAATTTCCTTTCTCAGTTAGCTTCATGGCAGAAGAGTTCTGCAGAATGCTTCGAAAGACAACCATGAAGATAATACACAGGATTCCTCCCAGACTGGAGGAGTAGTGTGAGAGGAAAACAAAAATGTTTGCAGGAAAAGAAATCTAATGGGATGAAGGAAGATGTGACATAAGCCAAGAAGAGTTGGAATGTGACCTTCCAGCGATGAATGAGAGATGATAGATAGGGTGGGGATAGCTTTTGGAGTGACTTGAAAGCATTTAATTATCACTGTCCTAGAAGATAATTGTAGAAGTGCTCTAAATAGATGTAAAGAGGAAAAAAAATTGCACTGCTTTAGTCCAAGTAAAGAACACTAAGATTCAAGATGAGTGGTTTAGGTATTCAAGTATAACTTATTCTACAAGTTGACGTTGCATATTTCCTTAGAAATATTCCTCTTCCTGCATGAATATCCACAACCTTCTGTTAATTTTTCAAAATATTTAATAGCAACTTAGGTAAACTGTAGTCCATGTAACATTTTACAGATCTCAGGAAATCACCTTTTTTGAGGTTTTATTGCAGGACTGCACTCTTGCAGCTGGCTTAAACAGGCAAACCTTCCTGGCAAAGCCTTATTTGAAGCTGGTAATAGTCTATTGACTCACATCCAGCTGGTGCTTAGGTTAGGTGGGAAAGAAGATTGATTTGACAATTTAAAAAACATACAAAGCTTGCTTAAATTTGAATGCATTTGTACTTTTGCAGTACAGATTGATTTTTCATCTCCGTTAAATCCTGTCTTTTTTTTAGGATACTGTGACATTAAAAAAGTCTATGACAATATATAATGAAAGAATTTATCAAAATAAGTTTGAGGATTGTAGAATTTATCCAGACAAGGTAAATTGTGTCGAATGAACTAGATCTAAAGTGGCTAAAATATTTCTCTGTGTCAAGATGCAGCCTATAGGTAGACTGACACATTAGAGAATGCTTTTGAAGTTTGATTTTCTTTGTACCAATTTGATGTCTGTCATCTATAATTAAGTATTTTGGCTCTAATCAGTCCATAACATAAAGGTCCATTTACATAAGTTCTTCTGGTATTCGACTCAAGAGCTACCCTGTGATGCTCATAACTGGGCTTCAAAGGTCACAAAATACTAGACTTTGAACCAGCTATTGAGACTAATTGAGGCACTGTCTTTACCTTAACTTGAAAAAATAAAATTCGGAGTGGAAGGAAGGAAAAAAAAAGAAAGACTATCTGGAAGTCTGTTAAAAAAAAAAAGGGGAGGGAAGGCTGTAGTAGAGAAGGTTAATGACATTAGGGTTATGGTGAAAGTTTAAGTACCATAGTAGAGAATCATACGTGTAGTATTGTGTTAATGAGTTGTAAAGAAAATGTTTATGAATGTGAAGACTTTTATGGAAAGTAATGGTAAAAGTTTAAGAAATAAAGTGAAGCTTTAGTGCTGCTACTTATCAAAAATGTATGCCATGCTAGCTTTTTGTTTGTAACTGACATCAAAGCAGAGTAGTTGATTTTATTTTTTAAATATCAAGGTGACCGTGCCATTCTGTGTGTCAGAATCAAGAATGTAGCAGTAGCTGTGACAAAAGAAGCTAGACTTCACCTGTTTCAAGCACAGGAATGGCAGAAGCTGCAGAACAGTATCCAAGATCACAGCTGTACAGAGATGTTCTCTAAAGCTCAGCTGACAAGTGAGTTACTACTTTTTTCCTTTATGGATTTTTATCTGTGTATTTAGAAACCTGTTAAGATATCTGTATATTTAGAATATTTATTTCAGTGAATTTGGACTTTGCATCAGCTTAAGTAAAAGCAGGACTTTGGCCTTCTGTAATTAAAAATTATTACAAGGAAATGTAATTGCTTTCTTTGCATCACTTCAGAAGACTTTGTTTGCGAATTATGATTTAGTATACTGCTGAAAAATCACAGAATCATAGAATGAACAGACCCTGACAAATAATGAGTTTAATGCAAACAGCCAAACTTTATGACAAGTTCTAGTCTCATGCTCTCAGTTATATACAAGTCAGAAGGAATACACTTTTGGCTGAAGTTTTCGTTTACTCATTCAATACAGACATTTTCTTTAACTCAGATTGGAATAAAAGTCTTTTTTTTTTATCTCAAACTTTTCCATAAAAAAGACTGAGTATGTGAAAGAATTTACAAAGAATACCATCATAAGATGAGATTGGAGAACTTGGAGAATGTAAATGTTTGGAACAGTCAAATGTACGGTTTGAATTGTGACATTTATTGCAGTGGAATGAAAAAAATTAGAGGCAAACTGATGGTGCCTGCTGCAGTTACCTCTAAACTTCTGAAGTGAATGTTTGCAAGGTGGGAGTATGGTGCCCAATTACAGAGTAAAAGGGTGACTTTGTACATGAAAAGCTTTTTTCTGTGTTCTTTTATTTTTTTTCTTTCAGAACCTCGTAATCACTAGCTTTTCTCTTTTTTTTTTTTTTTTTCTTTCTGTCTGTAAGGTCATCTGCAAAAATTAATCTGGGTCATGCTGCCATACTTTATAACTTGCCTGTATTATCATTTAATGTTCTTTCACCCTTTAATTTTGTAATTTGGTATTCGTCACTGAATCTCACATTCAAATGTTCTTTATATTTGAGCTGAGAATTATACCAGTACAGAATATGTAGGTTATCTTGTTGTCTTTTGTTTATGGAGGAACATTTCTTATTTGTCAGGAGGCTCCCGTTCTCCAGTTCAATGGAAATAGCATTTTTCAAAGATGAGAAAACAAAAATAAAATTGTATTTTCATGATAGCACAAATCTGTCATACTTCGATGTACAAAACATGTTAGAAAAATTTTAATACAGTATCAGAAATGAGCTAATCAGGATAAAGCTTAACTTGAGTATCCACCTGTGAGTGTCCATCTAAATGTAAAAGAACAGTAAAACACTGAAGCATTCTGTTATGCAACTGAAAGACAAACATACTGAAATAATAATTTTTGCACCATTTCTTGATTGTAATATTACAAAACCTACTTAAAGCATAATTTCTCCTTTAAGAAATTAAGTTAATACTAGAAACTTCATTCAAATTATCTTAAGTGAATACAGCTTCTTTTTTAAGTACATTTCCTCTGTGTGTCCAGAATCCCTAGAGTAACAAATCGATCTCCTGGAACATTGTCATAACGAAATCTTACGCAGATGTTATTTCTAAGGATGTAGTTCCCTTACACTTGATCTGAGCTGAACATGAAGGGCTGCTGAAATGATTAGCAGTTGGTCCGTCCCTCCTGTCTGTCCCAGCAATGTACTCGCTGTTTTCTACTATGTTTAGGAATCACATGACCACAGGGTGAGTTGGATCTGTTTGCTGATCTTGGGCAAAATCAATTATATTTTTATTTTATCTTACTTCGTTTCCTGTGTGTTAGCTTGCAGATTTGATGGAAAACTGAGTAAATGCACTCTGTGTGATCCTTAGTCTTGGTGCAAATAACACTGTGTCAGAACTCAGCTGAAAGTGCAGATGAGGAGTAAAGCCACTGTGTCAGCTGCATTTTGCCTGTCATTTGGATTAAGCACCATATGAAATTCTCAAACTGTGTTTTTAAAACTACCAGTTTTTTGAAGGGAGCTGTTTCGCTTTGTGTATTTGATTGATGAGATATGTAGCTGCAGGGTGGAATGCATATTTACTATTAGCTACACAAGGCAGATTGCCTATATTAGAACACTCTTTATTTCTGGTTCATGTATTGTTGGAATTTGTACTTCGTGACAATTGCTGCAAAGAGATGTATCATATGTTTCTTCCTGGATCCTGATGTTGATCAGTTCATGCCTTCAGAGAATGGAAAGTAACTTCTTGAAATTGAAGCAAGTTTCTTTAAATTACATAAATGTTTTTCACAGGTAGGCTTTAAGTTAGAAATTATTTCTAAATTTTATCTACAAAATGTTTAGGGATAATGCTAAGGGTTGTTTAAACCTTTTTCATATACAAAGGCCTTCGCATAAAAAACAGAAATAGTTTGTTTTGCAGAATTTTAATGAAATTTTTCCTCTTTCTTCATCCTTAGCCATTGTCATCTTAAACTATTAGGGTGAATTAATCTACAGTCCAGTCATTATATTGTTATTTCTTCTACAGAGGTGCCTTTCATGTATGTTTGAGCTGATTAGCACTCAAGTTTAGTAATCAGTGTAACAGTATTTACTATTCTTACAGTTTCACCCAAACATACAGAGCCACAGATTTCATTTTCAGCAAGTGTTTATTTTGGAGAGACTGTGCATTCATTAATAGTTACTTGTAGAAAAAATAGTGGTAAGATCAATGAGCAGATGAAACTTCAGTCTCTTACATAGTTGGATTTAAATGTAAACTGATTTGAAATACACAGTTTTATTAGACAATGGTCTCTCTGCCCTTAGCTGTCAATTAAAATTAAGTCTATTGCAGTTTGGGGCAGATGCAGTAAAATATGCTAAGTTGCACCTTGAAAGTATGCACGCTATTGTTTATCAATCTTGCATGTGGCAGTTCCTGTTCAGTGCTCTAAATGTCTTTGAAAACAGTAGAATAAATTTCATAAAGATATTTTTCATGTTGCAGAAGTATCTGTTGGCTAATACAAAATAGCTAGTCCCATCAATACGGTACTAAAGGACGGAAAGGTGCAGAGCATAGGAGACAGTTTGTAGTTACTGGCTTCTGGCAGAAGGGATCCCTCCCAGCCAACCCAAAAGCTGAGAGGCAGAACGCGGTACATGTCCTCACCAACCTTTGTCTGCACCTATTTGAAACAAAAGGTGAGGTTGGAAGTCTGGCCCCTGGTGTTATGGCTAGCTTTCAAGACAAAGACTGTTTTGTACTGTGTGTAGTTTGTAACCTGTATATGATGTCGTGGATTTAAATTTTATCTTCAGTCAGAGACAAATTTTCTAAAACCAAACTAATCGAGTATTTACTCCTTTGTTTGTTTGTTTGTTTTCTTCCAAAGTGACTGTGAACCACACAGAGCAAAATCTGACAGTGTCCCAGATTCCTTATCCGGAAACATGGTATGTGTTTTATGTAGACAAGTTTACCTGCGAGGAGAATTATTCTGAATCCGAGGATATTCAGTTTGAAATGATGTTACTAAACCCAGATGCAGAAGGGAATCCATTAGATCACTTTAGCGCAGGGGAATCTGGTAAGATTTTTTTTCTTAAAATTAGATTTTTTTAATTTAAGGATCTGATCACCCACACAAATCAGTAGTTACTATGCTTGGAAGAGTGTGGCACTGGGGAATGGATAGCAGGGTCTCTTAAATTTCAGATTCTACTTTCTCACAGAGAGTAAACTTTTCATTTTCTGGCATTACAAAAAATCCTTCCCTTTCTCTGAACTGACTTTCCAAAACTTGCCTAACTGGAATCATAGATGCACAAGAAAAGATACTGTTGGCATCTTTGCTGATAGGTATTTTTCCCCTGTTGAAATTGTAAGCTTCTGCTTGGATGTGAATTTAATTCCTGATTTTTAATGAATTTGCTTATTTAATTTGTGAAATTCCTTAGCTGTGTAGAATTTGATTCTAAATGATACGAGTACATGCACAATATAACATTTTGCCAGTATAATTTCAGTTCAATGTTTAGGTCTTTACTCACAGGCCACAGATTAGATGAGATATTTGTCAGTCCTGATTTTATTTAAGAAATGTCATTTTGAGTCTTTAAACCTGCAAAGAAAAACTTTTAGAAGTGACTCCAGACAGCAGCTGAAGAAACACCAACATAAAATTGTATGCTTTGGACAATGCAAACCAACCTCATCTACGCTTCATTGCAGTGCTTAGCTTCACTGTGCTGGGAGGCTTCATCGTGTCACTAACCTAGATCTGTTGCAAGGGAAGCGCCCAACAGGCTTAGTCTGCCTTCGTATAGAGATTTAACCTACATACCCAGGATGAGCCTAATTGCTATGCTCAGAATCGCGTGCCCTACTGTCATCCTTGGTCTCAAGGGGATACAGAGGGAACAAAGGCAGCTCCCTTTTTGAAGGAAAGAGAATATTCAGCAAAAGGTTTAGCAGAATCTGTAAGAAAGTAGCACTGTTAATCATCTGTTTTTCAAGGCTTTTAAGTTGACCTACCTGTCTCTTTAACTTCTTAATTGTGCTACAAACTTAGTTGGCAGTTTCTATTGGGTGAATTTTGTATCCAGAAGTGAATTCTAGCTTAAGTCACTTACTCTTAAAAAGCAGTAGTAGCATTCTTTTGCTAAATCAAGGGGCAGAGCCACTGTAAGATATTATGTGGCCCTTAAAAGTGGTGTACAGACCTCCTAGAGAGGCATCTCAGCTCTATATTCATTCTATAGGAAGACTTTGAGCACTTGGAAGCAGAACTCCGAGCAGCTGCATGGCGAGCAAGGTGTATGAATGTGTTGGATGCACATATTTAGATCTAACAAGTAGGAAGCAGGATGAGCTTTACATGCCATGTCTTCCATGGTTGCAATGGAACACCTCTGTTTATTCAGAATTAAAACCTGCAACGCTGCCATGAATCCTGAAATTACATGCTTGTGTCTGCTGTCAAAGAACTGATCAGGATTTCTTTTCTATCTTTTTTTTTTTTTAATGCATATTTGGGGAATCATTGTCCTTTTTCCATAGAAATGTGCAGCATAGAACATTAGGGCATCAAAGAAAACATCCAGCTTCATTTCTTTCACTTGGGCAACTAAAAACTACATAGTGCCAGAAAGTTCTAGTTAGGTCACCCTTCGCTTTAGTTACTAAAGTTGTGGCCTGACACAGGAGATCTCAAAATTAAATGGATTTTAAGGAAAGCATAGGAAAGAACTTGAGACTGTAACCTTGTGATTGTTTGCCTTAAGAGAGGAGGAGGCCTGGCTTCTGACCCCTAGCAAGTAATCTTTTATTATTTTATATGGTAGAGTTTTTTACAGAAGACGTGGTACCTGTGGAATGTAGGATTTCTAAGGGCAGCTGACCAGGTAGACAGTATTTTGAACATCTTTGAAGTTAGGTATTTCAAATTAAGGTACATATGTTTTATTTTCTCTGTCAACTCTAGGTTACTTGAAAGTCAGGAAACTACTCTTCTGGGGTTTTTTATAGTTGTATTTCAGTGCAACTTTCTCTTAAATCCTTTTGGTCTCAAGCCAATCATCCACAATCTGTCTTTGGTTGGAAGGAGCTTTCTATCCTAAATGTTTTGGTGTTTGTTAAAAGCTGATTAAAAGTTGATTTTCCTAAAGAGTTTTCCATGTGTGCCCACTTGTCATGGTGAGAAATAATTTATCTGCACAATCCTTGCCAACTTCAGTGGGTGTCTTTTGAAACAGAAAGATAGAGTGAAAGGAAGAATAAGAGATTTGATCTAAAATGCATATTTTTGTTAGTCATAAATCATGCTTTTGTACAAGTATATAAGAGAAGCAGCGTGGCCTTGAAATTTTTGTTTTATGAGTCTTCATTACCATGTGTTCTTTTTCTCCCATTTCACTGTATGTGTGTCCGAGCTGATTAGTTTTAGCCATAGAAGTTATAGTACCAGCAACTGTTCAGAACTCATCCCGTTCTAATGTTTTTCAATTTAGCTATTGAAATGTGTATAATTGCTCTGTTTCTAATCTCTGGGTGGAGCTGGTTGAAGTTTCTAGCAGAATTTTTTTGTTGCTGGAGGAAAAATGTTGATCAGAATCTGATTCTGTGGGCAGCACTTGGTTTCATGGAAGGTTGGAGAAGAAAAACATAATTTTTCGTAAGAAATTTCCGTTTACTCATTTTTGCTTATAGCTCACCGGCTTTGACCCTTTGGGAGCTCATATGATGGGTTCCAAAGCTTCCGAGCAACAGAAAAGATTTCTGGGATCCAGGTTTTCAGCGAAGCATTTTACCAGACTGCTGCCAAACTGAAATTAAAGGACTTCTGTTTTGTAAATAATATGAAAAACTTTGGGCATTTTTTAAGATTGGTGCAAAAAAAATCCACTTTATGAACTTGCTGTTGTTCTCTGTGCTATTTTTTTATCTAAAAGTTTTTTGTCTTGATCAACCATGCTTCTTGGACTAAATGCTTTATGTGGAGGAACAGTGACACCCAGTGGTAAAAATTGAAGCAAAAGAAAGAGCTAAAAATGAGTAATTTATTAAATATGTTTCTGACTGATCAAATGGGTTACAGTTATTTTCGGTTTATCAGAAAACTGTATGCCACTTTATACTATTTCAGTAATTGCTGCAAAGCCATTTGTATTTGAACATAATCTCTCCTACACTCAGAAAAGGTATTGTTGAATAAAAATTATTTTGTCAGATCAAATAATAATCAGTATTCTGAAAAAAATCACTGACTTTCTTGGATAAAATAGGCTAGGATTTACTCATTTTATCTCTACTACCACTTTTGGGTGACAGTTACTAAGTATTTCCCAGTGTTTATGTAAAAAGACTTTTTTTTTTTTAGTTATTTACTGCTAGTAGCACCATTCCTTTATAAAAACTAACCCGTATTTCCTTTTCCACAGGATTACATGAATTCTTTTTCCTGCTTGTCCTAGCATACTTCGTAACTGCTTGCATATATGCACAGTCCCTGTGGCAAACAATTAAGAAGCGTGGACCTATGCATACTGTACTAAAGGTGTTGACAATTGCATTACTGTTGCAGGCTGGTTCCGCTTTTGCCAACTACCTGCATTTCTCAAGGTATCGTTGCTTATTTTTGCTTTCAGTCTTAAGACTTGAACATTATGTTGTAAAGATCAGTACATGATCTTTCCTGTGGTGATTGTGACAAAACATAGCACTGATATTTTAGAACTACATCATTGCCTAAATGTACTTTTAAGAGAGAACACACATTTAAGTCTCATTCACTTAAAAATACCATCTTTTATTCATTTATCAGTTATTCTAAAGATGGAATAGGAGCACCTTTTGTGGGCAGTCTGGCAGAATGTGAGTATACTTGTCTACTGTTTCTTACATATTCCTACACATTAATCTGTATAATACATTAGTGAATGCTGTTGTTGGACTGTATTAAGATCTTGGACCGTATCACCAGATTTTTAATGTAAAATACTAAAAGTTGCTTTTCTGAAAAATTGGGTTTATTCAAGATGCTTAAAATAAGTGTATTTGAAGTTATACAATTGTGATATTGTGTAGGATTTTTTAAAATACTTTCTTGTTTGAAGAGTAGTGAAGCTTTTTAGGAAACGTAATCATATTTTACGGAGTGTGTCATTTCACTAGAAAATTTAACATTGATTATAATGAAAAAGTGAGTGCTTCATAGCACAATTGATATGATTGGAGTGATGCAAACAATGCTTATGTAAAGAATTGACATAAACAAAACATTTTTCTACATTCTGTATAGATATTCTGAGTTCTCACTGGAACTGAATTCCTATAACATCCCTTCCCAAAATGCACTAATTTACTCCTGCTGGATTCTTCAAGGTTAAACATCGTTGATAGTTTTTTCTGTAGTTCACATCTGAAGCATTGGGGGGTTCTTTCTAAGCAAATATATTGCCTTTTGATTGGCTTGAAGCACCCCAAAAAAGTAGTGCTGTGGTAGTGAGATAGCATAGGAGAAAAACAGCCTACACAGAAAAATTTCCCTTCCTAGAGTTCATTTAGAAGCTTGCAGTTGGAATTAGCAGCCTCTTGATGGCACTTGGCACCACAGTAATTGCCTCTTTCTTGTTTTAACCATTTGAGTTAGCAGCTCCTTGCAGCCTATCCAGCAACTGCATTATTAAACTTTCCCTCTCGTCTCCTGAAATTAAATTGAGAATATGGAGGTAGTCCTAACTCTTCCACAGTGAGAAACCCAATATTGACTACACAGCCAGAGCTTCAAAGCTGCATGTTAGATTTTCTGTGTATGTATTACAGTGAAGAGCCCACTTTTATTTGCTTAAAGCAAAGGTTATTAAGAATAAAATAATATTTTTAGAATCAATGGCTGAATTCAGCTAAGAGAGTTTTCCTTTCCTACTGTTTTTAAGATTCATGGTTCCCAAACCAGTAAAAGAAGGGAAATAATAGAAATGTGGAAATCTTCAGTGTCAATTACAATTCTGAAGAATGGCTGATAGCAAGTAGTATAGTTTGAAGATGGAAGGTGCTACCATTTTTCCTATATCAGAACAGAAATCTGAGTTAAAAGTAAATGGCAAAATTTCAGTTGACCTCAGTGGGGCCAGAATTTTATTCTAGAAACCTGTTCAGATACTATCCCAAGCAATTACTCTATTCCTACCATCATTTAGTCTTTACCATGTATAAAGACCTGACCCTCAGTCTAATTTATCGCCTGAGTTAATCACATCAATCACACAAATAATGCTGGCACTCAAAAGCATCACAAATAGTGATCTTTTAACTTTTGATAAGATCTAAATGTGAAATGTCAAAGAATATTATTATGCCTGTCGAACAGCCAAAAAAGATGAATAGTGATGAAGTCAGACAAATGTGGTATCAGCTCAGTAGCACGTGGCTTTACATTGACCCTGGATATCATAGGATTATTGTAATTTTAGAAATTTCTCTCAACCTTCTTACTTTCTGGCAAGGTGTATAGAATCATAGAATCATTTAGGTTGGAAAATCATTTAGGTTGGAAAAGACCTTTAAAATCATCAAGTCCAACTGTAAACCTAGCACTGCCAAGTCCACCGCTAAACCGTGTCCCTAAGCACCACATCTACACGTCTTTTAAATACCTCCAGGGATGGTGACTCAACCACTTCCCTGGGCACAGGGAACACAACTCTTTGGGCCCGGAGGTACAGCCAGTTTTTTACCCAGCGAACAGTACACCCATCCAAGCCATGAGCAGCCAGTTTGTCCAGCAGAATGCTGTGGGAAATGGTGTCAAAGACTTTACTGAAGACTAGGTAGACAACATCCACAGCCTTTCCCTCATCCACTAAGCAGATCACCTTGTCATAGAAGGAGCTCAGGTTAGGCAGGCAGGACCCGCCTTTCATAAACCCGTGCTGACTGGGCCTGATCACCTGGTTGTCCTGTACATGCCGTGTGATGGCACTCAAGGTGATCGGCTCCATAACCCCCCCTGCACCGAGGTCAGACTGACAGGCCTGTAGTTCCCCACATCTTCCTTCTGGCAGACAAGCATCACATTTGCTAGCCTCTATTCAACTGGGACCTCCCTGGTTAGCCAGGACTGCTGATAAATGATGGGAAGTGGCTTAATGAGCACTTCCGCCAGCTCCCTCAGTACCTTTGGGTGGATCCCATCTGGCCCCATAGACCTGTGTGTGTCTAAGCGGTGCAGCAGGTCGCTAACCATTTCCCCTTGGGTTATGGGGGCTTCGTTCTGCTCCCCATCCCTGTCTTCCACCTCAGGGGGCCGGGTACCCTGAGAACAGCTGGTCTTACTATTAAAGACTGAGGCAAAGGCGGCATTAAGTATCTCAGCCTTTTCCTCATCCTTTGTCACTATGTTTCCCCCTGCATCCAATAAAGGATGGAGATTCTCCTTAGCTATCCTTTTGTTGTTCATGTATTTATAGAAACATTGTTTATTGTCTTTTACAGCAGTAGCCAGACTAAGTTCTAGGTAGGCTTTGGCCCTTCTGATTTTCTCCTTGCATAGCCTAATGACATCTTTGTAGTCCTCCTGAGTTGCCTGCCCCTTCTTCCAGAGGCCATAAACTCTCCTTTGTTTCCTGAGTTCCAGTCAAAGCTCTCTGTTCGGCCAGGCTGGTCTTCTTCCCCGCCAGCTCATCTTTCAGCACATGGGGATGAGATGTCAAAGATTAAAGCTGGTACTGAATTTTTGTTTTATACCATTTTGTCTGGGAATCCACTTGAACTGTGGCCACACCGAAGCAGAGCAATATCTAATATCCAAGATGTGATTGAGAGATGATGTCTGGCTATAACTTATAGGGCAAGTTATCTTGGGAGTGGCAGAAAATAAAATAGTCCCTAGAACATCCAGATTTGTTCAGTCATTTCTGTAGCTTGGATCTATGACACTGGTTTGACATGCCTTGAGTTCACCTAACATTTTTTTCTAGTGAGTGCTATGTATCCATAGCTGGCATTGTAAAATAATTCCAAGATCATTTTGCCCAAAATCAGTGTCAGTTCATTTTATTAAAGAATGAGCAAGTTTGTATTTACTAAAAGCTCTTGACATTTCTTAAACAGCAAAGGTGTCTGAATACATTAAGAAGCATTTAAGCATATAAACTGTGAGAATACCAAATACATCCCAGAAATAATGTGTTGAAGTCTGGTTTATATCCATATTTTGCTAGTATTTCTGAGTGTTAGGGTAATACTGTAGCTGATCTTCATTTGACACACTCCCTTGTGTGCATTTTAATCTCTGTACAGTGGAAACGTTTTCTGTGCCAATATTTTTAGTCAATGTGGAAGTACATTTATAATACTGCCCAGTTATATAAAAACAGAAGTTTGCTTTTGTGACATAGAAATATTTTTCTTGTACCTGATAGTGTAAGTGAAAATTACAAATAAGGAGCAAATTTAATTTAACTAAAATAGTAATCACGTGAAAAAGAAAGCATTCTTGTGTATAGTGCCCAATCTCTAGTTTCTGAACCAAATTTGCAATTTACATAATATAAGAATCAATTTTTCTTGTACGTCTCTGCTACGCCAGTACAATGAGCCAGTTTACTCTCAAGTCCAAACTTCAACTTAAAAATTCCTTGGTAAGTTTCAGTCAAAAACTTACCAGATCTAAAGCTAACAATCACCCAGAAAGAAATCTGGTTCTTTCTACTGTCAGTGGTACTTCAGCAAGGCTAACAAGTAAAGGCTTTAATATATTCTAGCTTGAAGGTTTTTTTATTCAGATACATCTTCAAACACGGGTTTGAGACACTGATTAAGAATGTAATTTTATGGAGTATGTGTTAATTGTTCCCAAACAGAGCAAAAAAATGGACATAGTGAAATGAGGCAAAGGTAGTTTGCATTTAATAAAATGAAATACAGGCAAGTTGTTGCTCCAAATGAAGTTTGTGTTAAGTTATTCATTATATTTTCTCCTTTAAGTATCTGAGAGTGGAATTTGTCCTAAATATTCGTGCTTTCTATTGCAAGCTACTGCATCCTTAAGACAAAGTGCAATTAATTTAAAGTACAATGCAACTATCTGATCTTCGAACAAAAGTTTTTCAGAGCAAAGAAAGGAGTTCATTTCATCATGTTTCATATTTGCAGTGTGATTAACATGCATATGATTTTAGTTCTTTAGAATTTGTAAGTCTATTTATGCAGATGGACTCCTGAGCCCAGACTTCTTTCACACAGGAGTGGGATTTGGAAGGATGTGGCACTGTGCCCATGTAGTTGCAGAACTGCAGCATAACTAGGGGAAAGCTGATAGTCATCTGTTTGGTCACTGGAAACTACTCAAAATATCCACATTTTGTGGCAAAGCAAGCTCAGCTAATCAAACCATCGTTAAAATTATGACTAAAGGTGATACAGAGGCATAAATGTCCATTCTTCATTTGTGGGTATGTGGAACATTTCTCTTTGCTTTAGAAAAACTTTGTGTTGTGACTCTATTGTTCTTTTGTTTTCAATAGTGTGTGACATAATCTCACAGATACAAATGCTGTATTTATTGTTGAGTTTGTGTATGGGTTGGACAATAGGCAGAATGAAGAAATCTCATGGCAGACCTCTTCAGTGGGATTCCACTCCAGCATCTACTGGCATTGCTGTAGTAGTAGTTGTTACACAGGTTTGTATTTTCTGTTAATTCTTATACTGAAATATACAGCTGCTATTAAGTATGACAGAACTGTGAATGAATTAATTTCAATGTTTTATGAGGGAGGGAATATCAAGACTTGAAAAAAAACCTCACAGAATAATGTGCACCCAGTATGTCTAATAGGTAACAACACCTTCTCTTTACTTTAACAATTAAAGGTGTAGCTCCACAGTATGTTTTTGTTCAGCAGCAAAACCACTTAAGAAGTTCCCACAGTTTTCCAAACTTCTGGTTCCGCCAATTGTTTGTATCATTATACTATAAACCAGATCAGTGGAATGATCTATATTGGGAGGGAAAAAAAAAAGAAAAAAAAAAGATTTCAGCACAGTAATTTTACTGGTTTGATTTATAATGTGGTCCTATAAATAATTGTAATCAGTACAGCAGTATAACTGAGGGGTTGTGAATGATATTGCAGGGGGTGACAACAAGCAGCATGAGAGGAAAGATGAGAAAAGCTGCTGTGACCAAAAAAATTTAAATCCTCAGTGTCTTCCTCTTAGAACCACTCAAATAGGATGTCTAGTGGTCTTTTCAATCAATGTAAGGGAATTCTCGAAAGGTTCATGTGCAGGATTGGTCTTGCAAATAAACAAATGGTCTGACACATAATTTCATTCAAATATTTTCCATTAGTCTAAATTAGAAAGTCAAGTAAACCAGTAACTTAAAAGTAAATTGTAATGGAGATCATCCAACCCTGGTGGTGCCTTTTGTAAACAAATTTTTTTAAATCACAGCATAAAGACAAGAGAATCTGAAAGTTATTGAGAAAGAGAAGAGCAGGGAGAAGCTGGAGACAGTAATGAGGAAGAGAATATACTGAAGATGTTGTGCCATTTGAGTAGTATCTGTAATTAGTGCTGCTTCCAAACTAAATAAGTGGACTGCTAAAACATTAAGAGTAGCTGGGAGCTGGCATTTCTTGTTAATTAAGAATATAGGTAATTAAGAATATAAACCAAAGGCTATTAAGGTCAATGGGATTGTTGAAATTTAAAGATAGGTTTATTCCACCTTACTTGACACTCATCTAGCACCAGAAGTTTTACATACTGGCAGTAAAGAGGACTTCTAAAGTATTTAATTTTATTCATGCCTCTCCACTTGTACATAAATATGGGTGTATTAGTACTCTGTCACTTGAGACTGGAAAGTTTTTTGCTGTTGTTTCCTTTTTACTATACTTAGAAAAGACACTCAGTATCATCAGCCTGGACTTTTTTTGGTTGTTACTTGAGGTAAAAATAGGGGCAGGTATCACACATATGTGATGTATATGGACCGGTACTGGTCCATTATATGTTTGTGTTGGCTCTCTGAGCACCACAGGAGCATTGGCACAGAGTTGACTGTCTTACTTTTCACCACGAAGGCACAGCTCTACCGAATCTCTCCTCCTGGTACCGTTGGGAATGTCAGGTTTGGCAGGAGGAGCATAGGAACAGAGTGTGTCTGGGTGGTTTTGCACTCCGATCTCAGTGTCTAACTGTCTCCAGCAAAAGTTCCCTGACACCAAGAGTATCCTTGCACCTTCTGAAGAGGATGTTTTCCATCTCAATAGTTCAGTAAAAACAAAATATACCTTCTTCCAGATTGCTTCCCCTTAATACAGAATGTGACTGTGAGCTTAGGGAAACAGGATCCAAACTCTATCGCCTCTATCAAAAGTGGTGAGCTCAAGACTTCGTTCTCTGGATTAGTCTGTTGTTCACTGGTCTATCTAGATTGATGTGAATGTTGGACCTGCTGTAACAGGGCAATCAATGAGCACTTTTAATGATTAAAAACCTAGAATAATCTCCTTTCTATCCTGCTCTTTCCCAGAGATTTTTATGGGAGAGCCAGCTTCCTCCCATGCCAGAGGTTGGACGGACTTACGTGGATAATCAGAGATGTTCTGAGGACTTGTTGTGGAGGGTGCTGGAAACCACATGCATTACCCTAACACAGCAGATCGAGGTTGAACCGTATTAGTTTTATTGATGTGCTACACTACCTGTCTTCACCTCATCTTCAGGGAAGTCAAGCAAGTGAACAGCCTGTGAAAACATGTTATTCTTCAACTTAACTTAGTTTTGACCAGCAAACTATCTGACCCTGTTTGCCTGCTACCACTTCAAATTACTCCACAAATTTTCAGGGTGTTTTTTTTCCTCCTCTTTGTACTGATGCTATGGATTCTTTTCTTTTTGTTCTTTCAGAAATGCCAGCAATTTTTGGGGCTGTGTTTACAGGTTACCATCAGTGCAGGGTGGACACAGCCTTCTAGTCAGCAAATCTCTTGTGGTCTTTGCGGCTGCAAAGAGGTAGCATCTCAAACGAGGGACAAGTCTGCCATTCAGCATCTCCCTTTGCCGTAACTTGTTATTTCAGGTTCAGAACAAAAGATTCCCAGGCCACGCTGTATGCATTAACAATTCCACTCTCTGCTGTTGAGACGCAAACCTTGTTCAAAACTTTACTGTTGGCAGGCCTTTCCCATCACATAGACCTGAGCAGTTTCAGCATTCAGCGCTGATCGGAGTAGAGGCAATGAGTCTGGAAAGAGAGCTGATCACTTTGCACCTGACCAAAATGACATAGAATCTTACTGCGTTAGACATCATGCTTCACAGGGGTTCTTAGGTACACCCCCAAGGTGTGCTCAGAATGAGCTCTGCCTCTGACCTTAGATGTCAACTATTTTTTACTGTACTGGCATTGCATGACATCAGATACCCAAGAACTAGATATGGTTAGAAGCAGCTAGTTTATCCACTTTGTCTTGCTGCTACTTTTAATTTCCCTTTTGCTTCCCCCTTCCCCTTGCCTCTCAGATGATCTGTCCCATGAGAATGTGCCTTTACTGGAGATTAATACATTATCTTGGCTTGCCATAAAGTCATTGTTGGCATAGGGAAGGGGAGGAGGGGTTCTACCATAACAGTTTCCTCATGGCAAAAAAGAAGAGTGTCTGGTTCTTCATTGTATGGATCTGGAGGTTCAGCTCGTATATCTGGAACATCAGGGTGATGTCCGTGGCAGACATTCTTCTAGCATTTTAAGAGGAAGACCAGTACTGGACAGTGGTTGTTGTCCACTGTGAACCAAGATAGGTCAGAAGTATGTGCAGGTGAAGTCAGGCATTTCGAACAGTGCATTATGCAAACAAGGAGATGGTCATTCTCCTTTACTTTATGAAGAAGCAATTGTGACTTTAATGTTGGACATAACTACTGTGAGTCAGCTCTTCGGCTACCAAGCTCATCCAGTTCTTTCGTTTACAGCCTAAGCAGAGTTGTTCTTCTGGATAAAAATTAGGATTTTACCACGACCACCACCCCGATTTATTCTCAGAGCTCAAATATAGTTCTGCTCACTGCCAATGAAAAAATGTCTCTGGTATCCACTTCAGCAGGTTGGTGTCTAGGTGTTTTTTTCAGCTTGTTTCTGATATTGCAGCTGAGTGAGCTGATATATGCCTTTCTGTGGTCAGAGTAAGGGACTTCAGGGCTTATTTACCTTAATTTCTCAGGCATAGCCAGCCAAAGAGATTTTGACTTCAAGATCATGCTTGTCTATGAAGGCTCTTCCTTCATGGAGAACACATTGCCTAATCCATTGTAACCTAGAAACACTCCATAGCACAGACTTCTCTTCTATGGGATCCTGCTTTTCTCTGGTGAGTGAGAACAGTCCCAGCTCGTAGTAAGAGCAATGACACATATTCACCTTGTCCAAGTTTCCAGTGTGTTGCACTGATGGTTCCGTCTCTGCCTCTAATGCCTCTGCCTTCTGCTTATTTTGGAATAATCAAATGAAACTGAAGGAAGCTGAACTTCTGTGATCTTACATTGCTGTCACTACACACAGTCTTTGATCAACTGATTCCTGTGTTGTTTACACAGTTTACACTCTTTAAAGGGCTAGTCCCTGCTGTCAGACACTATTTTCTCATGAGGATTTGAACTTTGTTGTCATGATTCCTTTACTCCAGCTCTTTGTCATCTTCTCATGAAAGTGGCTTCTTTCATTGCTGTTACTATTGGTGTAGGTTAAGGAAAAATAAAACCCTCATGAGCTCTGTTCTTTAAGGTTAAGCTATCCCTGGGATCTGCCTAAAGTTTTGTCTTAAAGCAGTATCGCAGTTCTATCTCCATCAGCCTGTATTTTTTCCCCCCAGATGCATGATTTTGTCAGGAGGATTCTATACGTAGGTGGAGGGGTTTTTTTAAATTTTCTCAGACAGTGTATGTCCAGTCCAGGGAAGTTAAATACTTTGGCTGTTCCCAAGTGTGAATGTCAAAGCGGAAAATGCTCTGTACAAGACTGCAGTGATTTTGTATCTGATAGAACCCTTGTTTGTTGCCTAGACACATTCTATCTGGACAGAAATAACTTTTGTGATGGGAATTCATCTATTTCATGACAAAACTAGTGCTGTAGGCACACCTTTACCAAACACTGTCTTATTTCAGTCTTACTCCTTGACAGAATTCTCAGTCAAGTAATTTAATCATCTGAAGACTTTTGCTTGGAGTTACCCAGAAATGGAGTGTTATGATGGAAACATTTGAAGCACATTGGTCAGATTGTTTACTAGTAATCGGTGATGTTCAAGATGTGCATGCTTCACGTCCCTCTCCCATCCTTTCATTTTCCATCCAGGTAGATGAGGAATGACTGAAATGACAGCATCTAATCAAGGCCTAGATAAGGGAGGGGAAAAGCAAGAGAGTATTCTATAAGGGTATTCTAAGCGAAAATGATCCTGTCTTGACTGATGAGACTCAAGGACACCCACCTTTAGAAGGCACAGGTGGATTACACATTTTAAAAAAAGAAAAGTTAATTTCAGTAGCCTTTTTGTCTTTATGTAGTTAATGTAGTGAGAGAGCATTTGAATGTGTTCAGAAAGGAATCTGACTAATTTAGATTTCTAAATTGAGACATACAATGTCTGCTTCTGAAGGCCTTCAGAGCTACCTCACTCATATAAATCAAATTTGCCTACCTTTCTTCAGAAAGCCTGCTTCATTAGACACCAGAAACCTAAGTGCACGTTGGATGTGTGCAGTAGCTGGACTGGATTCCAGGGTATATTCAAGTCTTAAAATGCCATTCAGCTGCTGGATGATGCTGGGAGAGTCAAAACTTTATGGGTATTCTAATTTATAACGTTAACATTCCCAAAGTCTTAAAAAGCTATTCTTCAGCAAGACCCAATTTCTATGCAACAAGTAGGCACCTGCCTTCTACCCAAATAAGATTCAGAAACTAGGCACTTCTTAGTCTGTTTTTCCTTAACAAATCTATCAATATTCTTTCTCACAGTGCTCCTACAAAATGAGATTCTGCAGCAAATGGATACAGTGCTGTGAGTTAAGGAGGATTACTGTCTTTCATGTTATCTGTTGGCTAGAGCATTTGTCCAGATGTTGGAAGGGCGTTTGGAACCTGTGACGCTCCCTTTCCTAGATCCTAGGAGGTTTCCAAGCCGGTTGCTTGCAGAGTCAGGCTCGCTCGCAGTTTCTGACCTAGCTGATGTTGAATTCTTTTCTCCACAATGGCACAGCTTCAATAGAAGGGGTGGAGAGTGGCCCACCCAAGAACAGCCTATAGCCTGGCAGTTGGGGCACTCTCCAAGGAGGTGGGAGATGTGAGCTGGATATCCTTTAGGCAAAGAAGGGAATTGTGGGAGATCCAGGTTCAACCTGGGTGAACGCTTGAGCCTTCAGGCTATTGTATAAAAGGGGCAGCAGCACCACCCTCTTACTTCCCCATCTGTAAAAAGAAAAGTGAATCCTGTTAGGATTTTGAAAGAAAAGGCGTAGTCGCCTGCCTTTGAAACAAGCTTTACAGGTTGTGGATCCCAAGTGGAAGGAGACACCTCCCCGTAGCTCGGTGGAATCATTTCAGTGGGCTTCCTGCTGAGTAGGCTGACTGTTTGACTAGATGATTATTTGATTATTTTGGATCGTATACTAAGGTGTCACATTCTTTCTACCCAAATTAGAGGAAACTAACTTGTCAAACTTTCTAGAAGTTACAGAATGCAAGAAGTGGGAGTCTGTTCCTGCCAGTTGCACTTGGAGAGGCTAGGGGGTTTTGTGTAACATGGCGATCTCCAGCGAGCAGAGCGGAGCATGACCAGTTGTGTAGATAATTTAATCTGTGATGGGAAGATTAATTGAGGTTTAGTGAAACCTTGTTTATTCTAAATGTACTTTGTTCCTTTCCAGAGCTTTTTATTAATTTGGGAGCAATTTGAAGATACGAATCACCACAGTTACCATTCACACCATGGCTTAGCAAGCGGACTGCTTATTGGCCTCAGAGTTTGCCTAGCTTTGTCACTGGCTGCTGGTCTTTACCAGATCATCACAGTGGAGAGAAGCACACTGAAAAGGGAGTTCTACATCACCTTTGCCAAAGTATGGGTTACATCAGGGAAACTAATCCCTTCTGCTATAAATATAATTGTGGTATGCAGTTGACTGAAGCACTAAACTCTTTTCCTTCATAAGAAAGCTAATGTTTAAGTGTCTGATTTGATTAAATTGCACCCTGTCATCATACTCTGAGTAGTCATTTTAATTTGACAAGGAGTATAGAGCTTTTTTAAACAGAAATCCCACCTTTCATTGTGTGGTTTTCATTTTGTTGATTGAAAATTAAACAATGGGTTCATAAAATAGACAGAAATGTAAATGCAGTTCCTCTAACTGTCATCTCTTTCTTCTAAACTGGCATGTAGTCATTTTATAACTTACACTCATCTTCTCTTTCAGGCCTGCATTCTCTGGTTTTTGTGCCACCCATGTCTTGCAACCATTTCTGTAATATTCAGAGAATATCAAAGAGAAAAGGTATGTACAGGCAAGATAAAAGAGTTGGAATTTGAATAGTAGTTGTTCTTCATGTTCAGTGTTTGTTAGCAAACTCATGCTCTTAGGCTGTTAATCTTATGACCCCAAAGCAACTTGAAAAGTCTTAGTCACACAGCTCTCATTGATGCTAATGTGAGTCATATTTTACAAAGGCATACAGGGTTTGAATCATCTAAGGGTAATCATTCCTAGGGTAAGGGCGGGGGGAGGGATTGTTAAGTCAAAGGAAAATGTGGAGGGGGTGTTTTGTTTTATTGTTTGCTTGTTTGTTTTTTAATTAAAAACACCTTGGGTATTCTTTTAACAAAGCTAGTAGAAAGATAAATCAATGGAATTTTTTTTGTTGTTTGCTTTTTAGTCTTCATCCTTTAAAAGCTTTATGTGGCTATATAGGTCAGGGAACCTATAGCTAAACTGTATTTTTTAGATTAAGAAATCTGTCCCATTACATAGTTTGGTTTGTAAGCTCTAAACAGTTAAAAACAAAGGTTGACTCTCTGGGTTCTCTGTTGCTTAAACGTATTGGGAACTAGAGAACTAGTGTGTGGAACTTGCCATGTTCAGATAAAGTGCACTACTATTCTCAGGTGATTGACTACCTCATTCCAGGGTAGAGTTTGCTTCTTTTCTTTAGGGTTATAACCATCTGTGCATTTTGGGAAATTGAGCTTTTATTTGTGTAGAGGATATGTAAGGGAAAGAAAAAGATTCCACTAAAAATACATAGTAAATGAAATACCATGTTTGATTTAAAAAAAAAAAAAAACCAAAAACAAACCGTAGGGAGAAGAGAAGACTCTTCTAGAGCTACTAATGAAGGACACTTTGTTGGTTGATGAAAACATCATCAGGGCAGGGGGACGGTCTTTAGAGGTAGGATCTGTAAAGGAAATTTTTGAACTATTTTGAGATTTTTAGCTTACTGAAGGGAGATTGCAGTTGCTCTGCTCTTGCGTTTGGGCAAGTGTAACTATTGTGTGCAGCTGCAGTTCCTACGTTACATTAATTTAGCTGTATTTCCTTCTTTAAATGCACTTCAATATAATAAAGAAATGCATGATCAATAGATACCATATTTGCTTAAGAAAAAACATCCATTTTAAAAGACTCTCTTGTACATGAACTTAGACTTTTGTTTTCTCAGGATCACCATTATGTATTTGATAAATACTGCCTTACCCATCTTTTACAGATGAAGAGACTTGCACTGAAAAGAGGTCTGCCTAAGTGAGACTGATAAATCACTATCCTCATAGCTCCGTGATTGCGCTAGTGCAAAGTGTTTTCAGGCTTTTTTTTTTCCCCCGCTCTGTTTGTTGTAAGAATAGAATATCTAAACATCACCTCTGCTTGTGAAACTGCATGGGTGGTGAATTGCAAGTCTGAAATTCCCCTGAACAGAGACCGCCAGAAGGGTTATGTGACTTGCCCAGGGCTAACTACTGATTTAAAAACACCCAGGTGTGAGAGTCTGAATCCTGGACTTGAGATTCATGTTCAAATCTTTTGTAACTGCAGCAGTACTAAAAGGTTTAAAATGAAACCTCAAGCACTTATACAGTATGCTGATAGAAATTTATTTTGGGTTGTTTGGTGTTGGATTTTTTTCACTTACTTTTTCCTTTTCTCTCTTTTTTGTCTCTAGATTATTACCATAGGTGTTATCCTCTGTCAATGCATCTCCATGGTTATCCTCTACAGACTTTTTCTATCTCATAGTCTATATTGGGAAGTATCTTCACTATCATCAGTGACATTGCCACTAACAGTATCCTCTGGACATAAAAATCGACATCACTTCTGAGATGTTTAGGAAGAATAGATTATGTAATAAATGTGCAATAATGACCTAAATATACAGGTATTTTTGTCACAGGCGTGTGATACATTGGTTTCACTGGAAAACTGAGTGATAGTATCGGAGCACTTCACAGACCTTTGGTCTGACAAGATCCCTAGATTAATCTATTACAAGTATTGCGGGGTGGAAAAATCCATAATTTGAATAATTTTATAAATATCGTTTATGTGTAGCACGTGGTGCCGTGCTGTATCACAGAAAAGTACAATGATTCTTTTCTCTCCCATTCACAGCCACAAAAAATGTCCTTACTTTATATCAATACTAGGTTTGAGGATCTTATAAAATGCAGTTCTTAAAACATCTACAAGCTCAAACAAGTCTGAAATAGGCCAGTTGTGAAATTGGTGTGATGCGTAACGATGAGTACAAGGGGTTTTTTTATTTTCATGCTTTAGAGAAAATGCATTTTATGTATAAGTATAAAAAAAGGGCAAACAAAAGGAGAGTCCTCTAGAAAACACGTCATGTTTACAGCTGACTGCAAGAAACTCTCGTTTATTATTGGTGTAAAAGAAAAGCCTTTTTTGCAACTAATGGTCATACTGGCTAAAATTTTAATGGGAATGAAAATAGGGTTTATATGTGCCTTTTTTTTGAAATAAGTGTAACTAAATTTTCATCCAGTAATGAAGGTCTAAACAGTGTTTGAGGCTTAGAAGACATAGCAACATAAAGGTAATTAAAACGGCAGGCTCGCATCTTTTACAGAAAAAAAAAAAAAGGCAAAGAAAATGGTATGGGTGATGTGGTACTAGAATTTTAATCCTGATATAATTCATTTCTGTTACATTGAGGATTCAATCATAATTAAGCCATATACACAGATTAAATTAACAGAAGCATTTCAAATAAATGTTGGTTTCAGTCATCAACTACCCATGAATTCCTGCCCAAGGATACTTAATCAGGATTAAATTTTCTATGAATAATTGAAAAACAAAATACTCACTGGATTTGTTATAATCCATGTTGGCACTGGGTTCTAAGTAGTTGCCATCTTCCATCCATTGTAATAAAGCCATACTACTTTGTGATGCCCTAGCATTCAGAAAGCCAGTGTAAATATATACTTTATTGAAGTGCCTATTTATTGAGTATGATTAAATCATGCTGACTTTTTTTTTTTCCTTCATAATAAGAACATACCTATTGGCATTGTGACTGAAATCTTTCTTTTTGGATTTAGTTTGGTATTTGTCAAATTTTAGACTTCTTTTCATACATGTGTGTTTCTTCACAACACGGATTTTATTTTCTAGTAAACGAATGTTTGTTTCTTCTTAACAATGTGTATTTAATTATGTCTCTATGAAAATACGAAGACGCCAGGGTTCTAGCTTTAAAATAGCCCTAACTTTTCCATTCACGTTTGCCTCAGTTGCAAGCATATTTGAAACATAAGTCTATTCCATTTTAGTTTAGAGGCAAAACTAGACATTTGCCTTTGACTAAGGCAAAATGGCAACATGACAAAGTTGCTCATTAAATCATCTCCTTTCTTATTGTTTGTAATTCAGATCAAGAATGGCAGGTTGAGGCTGGAAAAGATGAGATATTATGATTTCACACAATCTTCAGAATGATTAAAAGATTAATTCTTACATTCCTCTGATAACCACACAAAAATATTATTGGTTAAAACTTCAGTCTTTATTTCCCTGCTTATCTCTGTACTTTTCATCTTCTCAAGAAAAAAGCGTCCTGTTTTTGATAAGGCTCCAATAATGCAGTAGAAGAGTTCTATCTGTCCTCATGTATAAGACATGAAATTCACACATAAAATAGAATTTTCTGATAGACACAAGAACTACTTTACAGTTTATGATCCGTCATGACAAAAGTTTTAATCTATGCAGAAGAAACTGTATGTGACTTTCAAAGGAGCCACTCTCTTTATTCTCCAGAAGTATTTTCTTACTTCCTGTAGTCCCTCTGACTTCAATCTGTCAGTATTAAGGTAAATGGTATCTTAATTTCACCTTATAAATATACCTTACAACAATTCATAAAATGAATTCATAGTTAATCTGAGTGTAAATGTGAAGCATAAGATGTTGTCTCTTAATCTTTTCCAGATTGTCGTATAAGTCAACAGGTAACATCTTCTCTTAGTTTGGCATCGAATCTGACAATTTGAAAATAAAATTTTAATTTTGCTATTAATGTAAGTCTAGCAATTAAGTATCACTTTCTCATGGTAAGCGGTACAAAGGACATGCATTTCTGCCCAGGTCTATCAGCATTCTTTCCTAACTAACACTCACCAGTTTTACGTTATTAAATCATTAATGTGTACTGTAGCAATAGGTCAGTAGGACATAATATTCAAGATGTCAGATAATTCAGAACAGAATATCTTTGGGGAGAGTCTTCAAGTCTGACTAATTTACAAACCTTCATACTTACCTGTACTCTAGCTTGAAGCTTACTGCCCCTGGATCATGCCCAAAGAGTGGTTTGAGTATGTGAAAGCCTCTCTCTTCATCCTTTACTCACATCTTCTGCGAGACAAGCTGGTAAGGCCTTGCCTTTCTCCTGCTTACGCACGCAGTTACCCATTTTATCAATTTGGTTTCATAACCTCATCTGGAACGAATAGCTTCCAGCCTTCTTTCAGTTGTCTTTGATCAGTGCATCCTGACTGGAAAACTTCATCTTTCTCTTTTTCTAAAACGTGCTTTCCGTCACAAAAAAAAAAGTTTTCTGTTGCAAACTGGGGCTCTTGCATACACCTGAGGAACTCACAATGCCCCCTATGTCAGCTATGCATTAGGTGACAGCAGCGCACAAAACCACTCCTTCGGTATGCCTGTGGCCCCGGTGTGCAAGTGGCCTGGGTTTGTGCCTGCTGAAAGCCGCTGCATACCCGGGGAATTCTCGGGGAGAGCTACGGCAGCTGCTGGGCCTGACGTGTGTTCCCCCCACAGGCAGCACTGCCATTGCTGACCACCATGAACAGAACTGGTTAGCTGAGGTCAAATGGTGACGCCTCGCTTGTGAGTTTGCCTGCATTGCACGGTTCTGATGCAGTTACAGAGTATACAAATTCTATCACCTGTGCGTTTCAGTGCCCAGAACAGGTAAGTATGTATTGGGCATGACTGCAAACTGCAGTTGGTTGTGCTCTGAAGAAATCCACTTCTATGTGTGAGAGGGCATCTCCTTGCCAGCCATTGCCTTTTCTACTGGCACAGATGCCATTTTGCGTCAATTATGATTTATTGGTTGGGAGGGAGGATCCCGGTTCAGGAGGAATGAAGGTGAGATCACCAACTCGGTCTATGAGACCCCCCGCAAGCTGTGAGGATGGATTGTCTTGCGTTGCTCCTGACCAGCAATGTGGAGGCTGGAGCAGTTGAAGGGCTCATCAGAAGTCCCCTAAGTTATTCGCTCCTCTTCTCTGTAGACTGTGTTTATTGTACATTTATTTAAAGTGCTTCAGGTAGGAAAATGAATATTTACAATTAATTATATGTAAATGGCAGTGGAAAGGCTTGATTGGAAAAATATCAAGTTTCTAATACATATTACTGTACTAAGACCTCCCACACAAGACAAACATTTATAGTCAGATCTAATGAATATTCCTTTCTGGCTCCTGTGCCAATGGAGAGCCATGGAAGTATCAAAGCCTTTTTGTTTGCATCTCGATCCTCTACAGAACTGGAAGAATATTTTATTTGATTTGGCTCTAGTGTATTCTGTGCAATGTTACCTTTCTAGTTGATACTTACTAGAGCATACAATAAATGTTTACTGGGCTGGCCAAAGCTGATGTTATGCTGTACCTTTTAACTCTTTGCCTGTGACTATGCAATGTACAAAGGGCAAGTGATCCTTGCAAGTGTCAACCATTAAAAGATAAAATCTTGAGCTGTTTTTCCAGGGATAATTCTTTTCTAACCACACTGATACAACTAGACCGTGATTTTTCCAGTGAACAGTAAGTTCCGATTCCAGTTTTTCTTAAACCATTATTTTCTGCAAATCTTTTTACCCGTCTTGCGAATTCCATCTCTCCCATTGTGCTGTCTCTCCCCTCCCCTCTCCCCCTCTCTCACACGTATGATTTTGAGTCTAGTGGGTGTCATTTCTTTCTCTATCTCTCCATCTGTTCCCACGATCAACACTCACAGTCCAGCCCCTACTTTGCATCTAGTATGCGTATTCTCTGTATCCTTGGTCTGTTTTGATTTCACGCTTTTCCTGTCTCTCCTTTGCCCTCTCTACTGCGTCTTTAGTCTCCCTAGCCATCAGAGACCTGAGGGTGTGGTTTGACATCGCGGCTAATTTGGGCTAACTGTTAGCTGCCAAAAAAATAGTGTCCCTGGTGCTTCCCTTGAACTGACACTGGCTGTCACCTAGCAGTTTAAGTGAGATGGAGTCAAGGAGTTAAACTGGTAAAAAATTCATCCTGTAGCAGCAGCAGAAGAAAAAACAAATGAGTTCTCAGTGGTTTTAGCTCACCAAACTAGGTCATCAGGATTTGGTGATTACCAGTGGCACTGCTGGGGATGGGGTAGAAAAGGCGTGTTGAAGAGGGGCAAGATCCCCTTTAGAAGGGCAGCTGCAAGGTCAGTCAGTCTTTTGCAAGCTACCAGCTTGTAACTTCTCTGTCTCTCTCTCCTGTATGTCTTCTGCTGTATTTTGCACGCTGAGAATCGGCCTGACCGCTTAACAGCTCTCTTCCAGCAGTAGTGTCGGGGGGGGGCTGGTCCAGCACAAGGAAAACTGTTTGGCTGCTTTAAAGTATTTTAAAAAGAACAGGGTCAGCTGTGCCTTTGCAACCTTACAAAAGGGGCCGGGAGGCGTCAGGAGCAGACCCTCGTTTGAGGAAGGAGTTTTGAGGGGAGACAAGACGAGCACCATGAAAACAGCCATGCCTTGAGTGGGTGCCAGTTTTTTCAACAGATGGCAGCACTGCTGTAGAGGGCAACCAAAGAAAAAATCACACGGCTTTTCACCGGGTCTGCCTGTGGGTAGGGAGAGACTCAGTCTGAACAACTGCAACCCAAGGAGCAAAGGTTTCCAGCAGCGAGGACTCTGGAAGGCTACTTTATCAGTGGGTTTGCTGATCTGCTGAGACTTGCGACTTTGCGAGGCTGTGGTAGGGTGGTGAGGATCTGTCTCGCCTCTTGGTCAAACGCTGACGAGTTTGCCCAGGCTGGCAAGTGAGTTTGGCTTTCACTGCTGCTGCAACAACAACCCCCCAACAAATGTGATTCGTGGAGGCCACAAATGAGCAATCTCAGGAGTCTGTCTTTTTTTTTTTTATATAGTAGGTAGAGCTGAAAGACTGCACGTGGGCCGCGTTAGAGTGGATACTTTTTGCCTAGTTTCTGACCCTTTGAGCCTCTTATAAAACAATGGCATTGTTTTCAAATCAAATTTTATAAATGGAACACTGGAGTTGTTAAGAAGAGATCAAAATTTACATAAGACTTCTAT